TGGACGCCTCTGGGCCCGTCTTGGCGCCCTCGTGGGCTATTTTGGGGGCATATTGGGAACATCTTGGGCCGTTTTGGGGCGGTTTTGGGGGCCTCTTGGACCGTCTTCAACGCCATGAAAAGCGGAAAGCCGCATATGCTCAAAATGCAAGTTGTCCTTACGAAAATCAATGATTGTGGCATCGTGGGGCCCTCTTGGGACGCCTCGTGGGCGCCTCCTGGGGCGTCATGGAAGCCTCTTGGGACGTCTTGGGGCCGCCTTGGGCGGTCTTGGGCTCTCTTGGAGCGCTCTTGGGCCGTCTTGGGCGCTTCTTGGGCCGTCTTGGGCCGTCTTGGACGCCGTCTTGGCCGCTTCTTGGGCTGTCTTAGGCGCCTAAGACGGCCCAAGAAGCGCCCAAGAAGCGTTCTCCGATGATGCCTCGAGCGAAACGCTGTGTTTAAGCCCCGAAGGCCGTCCTACTCGATAAAAAACGAGGCGGGAGGGCAATTAGATCCGGGCCCGTAGACCTGCTTGGCACGGGGACGGAAAGCGCACTTACTTTCAGAGCGCACGAGATCGCTGGCTCGTCCGCTCTTACACCTCTTATTGACTCCCTTCCCCTCGCTCTTGTCCTATCTCAGCCTCGGAGAGTCGCGGAGCTTTCTTTGAGCGCGTTTCTTGTTTTGGAGGGGGCGGTCGGGTCGCGTTGCGTTTTCCGCGTTTGGGCTGCCAGCTTTCCAGAACCCCGCGTTGTCCTTGCGTGGACCGCTCGTTGTCCACGCGTTGCCGCCCGTCCCTGTGCCCTGGCGTCAAGAACTTATTACGCCGCAGCTCTCTGTTGGGAGCTTTGGTCTTATCAGCTCGATTACGTCACCGCTCGCTCTTGGGAGCCGCGGTGCTAAGAGCCTTTGGGAGTATTTTGTGCCTCTTGGGGGGCTCTTGGGGAGCCGCTTGGGTGCCTCTTGGGGACCTTTGGGGGCTTTTCGGGTGCCTCTGGGGGCCTCCTGGGAGCTTCTGGACTGCGGGGGTGAAGGAACTAGGCTGCCTTTGGCCGTCTTTGGGCTCTCTTGGGGGCCTCTTGGGGCCTTCTTGGGGCCGTCCTGGCGCCGTCTTGGGCCGGCTTGGCGCCTCTTGGGCCGTCTTGGCGCCCTCTTGGGCCGTTTGGGGCCCTCTTGGGCCTTCTTGGGGCGCTCTTAGGGGCCTCTTGGACAGTCTTGGGCGCCTCTTGGCCCGTCTTGGCGCCCTCTTGGGCTATTTTGGGGGCCTCTTGGGAACATCTTGGGCCGCCTTGGGGCAGTCTTTGGGGCCTCTTGGACCGTCTTCAACGCCATGAAAGGCGAAAAGCCGTATATGGTAGAAATGTACGTTTTCCTACAGAAAATCAATGATTTTGGCCTCTTGGGGCCCTCTTGGGACGCCTCGTGGGCGCCTCCTGGGGCGTCGTGGAGGCCTCTTGGGACGTCTTGGGGCCGCCTTGGGCGGTCTTGGGCTCTCTTGGAGCGCTCTTGGGCCGTCTTGGGCGCTTCTTGGGCCGTCTTGGGCCGTCTTGGGCGCCGTCTTGGCCGCTTCTTGGGCTGTCTTAGGCGCCTAAGACGGCCCAAGAAGCGCCCAAGAAGCGTTCTCCGATGATGTCTCGAGCGAAACGCTGTTTTAAGCCCCGAAGGCCGTCCTACTCTATCAAAACCTGGCGTCAAGAACTTATTACGCCGCAGCTCTCTGTTGGGAGCTTTGGTCTTATCAGCTCGATTGCGTCACCGCTCGCTCTTGGGAGCCGCGGTGCTAAGAGCCTTTGGGAGTATTTTGTGCCTCTTGGGGGGCTCTTGGGGAGCCGCTTGGGTGCCTCTTGGGGACCTTTGGGGGCTTTTCGGGTGCCTCTGGGGGCCTCCTGGGAGCTTCTGGGCTGCGGGGGTGAAGGGACTAGGCTGCCTTTGGCCGTCTTTGGGCTCTCTTGGGGGCCTCTTGGGGCCTTCTTGGGGCCGTCCTGGCGCCGTTTTGGGCCGCCTTGGCGCCTCTTGGGCCGTCTTGGCGCCCTCTTGGACCGTTTTGGGGCCTTCTTGGGAGCCTCTGGGGCCTTCGTGGGGCGCTCTTGGGGGCCTTTTGGACAATCTTGGACGCCTCTTGGCCCGTCTTGGCGCCCTCTTGGGCTAGTGTTGGGGCCTCTTGGGAACATCTTGGGCCGTCTTGGGGCGGTCTTGGGGGCCTCTTGGACCGTCCTCAGCGCCAGTAAAGGCGGAAAGCCGCATATGCTCAAAATGTACGTTTTCCCTACGAAAATCAATGATGTTGGCCTCTTGGGGCCCTCTTGGGACGCCTCGTGGGCGCCTCCTGCGGCGTCGTGGAGGCCTCTTGGGACGTCTTGGGGCCGCCTTGGGCGGTCTCGGGCTCTCTTGGAGCGTTCTTGGGCCGACTTGGGCCGTCTTGGGCGCCGTCTTGGCCGCTTCTTGGGCTGTCTTAGGCGCCTAAGACGGCCCAAGACGCGCCCAAGAAGCGTTCTCCGATCATGTCTCGAGCGAAACGCTGATTTTAAGTCCCGAAGGCCGTCCTACTCTATAAAAAAGAAAGCGTGAGGGGCCTTTTGGAACCTTCTTGGGGCTGTCCTGGGGCCGTCTTGGGCAGTCTCGGCGCCTCTTGGGCCGTCTTGGCGCCCTCTTGGGCCGTTGTGGGGCCCTCTTGGGTGACTCTTGGGCCTTCTTGGGGCGCTCTTGGGGGCCTCTTGGAAAGTCTTGGACGCCTCTGGGCCCGTCTTGGCGCCCTCGTGGGCTATTTTGGGGGCCTCTTGGGAACATCTTGGGCCGTTTTGGGGCGGTTTTGGGGGCCTCTTGGACCGTCTTCAACGCCATGAAAAGCGGAAAGCCGCATATGCTCAAAATGCAAGTTGTCCTTACGAAAATCAATGATTGTGGCATCGTGGGGCCCTCTTGGGACGCCTCGTTGGCGCCTCCTGGGGCGTCGTGGGAGCCTCTTGGGACGTCTTGGGGCCGCCTTGGGCGGTCTTGGGCTCTCTTGGAGCGCGCTTGGGACGTCTTGGGCGTTTCCTGGCCCGTCTTGGGCCATCTTGGGCGCCGTCTTGGCCGCTTCTTGGGCTGTCTTAGGCGCCTAAAACGGCCCAAGAAACGGCCAAGAAGCGTGCTCCGATGATGCCTCGAGCGAAACGCTGTGTTTAAGCCCCGAAGGCCGTCCTACTCGATAAAAAACGAAGCGGGAGGGCAATTAGATCTCGGGCCTGGTGATGCCAACACCCTCGACTCGAACTCCCCGTCCAATTTCTTCCGACTAACGGACCGCACGCTAACGCGCGCTTTCCGTCATGCCAACCCCCCCGGACTCCCCCAAGTCTAATTTCTTCCGACTAACGGACCGCACGCTAACGCGCGCTTTCCGTCATCCGCCGCCCCCTGTCGATTCATCGCCAGGATGCCTGGCGTGCTAGATCCTCTCGGTTTTGGTGTTGGTTCTTTTTCCAAAAGAACTCCCCCTGGGGTTCCAGCCCGCCCCGCCAGCCACCCGGAAAGGTGCTCAATCCGGAGAAAAAAACCTCCAAGATGGCTCAAGATGGTGCCAAGATGGCCACGTTGGCCAAGATGGCCTCCAAGATGGTCCAAGATGGCCTCCAAGTCCGCCCAATATGGTCCAAGACGGCCTCCAAGACGGCCCACGAGAGTCCAAGACGGCCCAAGACGGCCCAAGAGGCCCCCCAGAGGCCTCCCAGACGGGCCCAGAGGCCTCCATCCTCCAGGAGGGCCCGAAGAGGCCAAAATCATTGAGTTTCTAAAAGTTGTGGAAAGGACTTTTGGATTTGCTTCATCTCGGTATTCCGACGGCTCAAGACGGCCCCAGAGACCCCCAAGGTCGCCCAAGAGGCCCCCAAGAGGGCCCCATGACGGCCCAAGATGGCCCCAAGACGGCCCCATGACGGCCCAAGAGGCCTCCAACACGCCCAACATGGCATCCAAGACGCCCAAGATGGCCTCCAGGACGGCCCCGAAGCGCCCCAAGAGGGTCCCCCGTTGGCCCAGAAAGGCTCCCAAGACGGCTCCCGACGGCGTCAGACGTGCCAGGAACCCACCAAGATGGCCGACGCTGGCTCGAAGCTGGCCCAAGACGGCCCAATAGGCCCCCAAGAGGGCCTCCAGGAAGGCCAGAAGAGGCCAAGAACATTGATTTTCCTCAAGCTAGGCGCGGCCACCATTCAACATACCTGAGACGGACGATCCACTTTTTCACGAGGACGCGTCCCTGCACAGGACGAGGTGCACTTGAGATTCTATAATGCTGAGCTTGCGTGGCAGCGATGGGAAAAGGACCCGGGCCCGGATCAAATTACCAGAATAGACTGCGTAGCGTTGGCTCCCCAGGGTGGGCAGGGAGGGAAGCCTTGAAACCAGAGTGGCCGCGAGAGGGGGGAGCAGCAGCAGGGGCGACAAGCAGAGGAGAAGAAGGAAGGGGTGGAGCCCCTCTCGCTTGGCCGCTCGACGCGGAGGAAAACTGCATCCAAAGATAATCATTCCTCTAGCTAGGCGCGGCCACCATTCAACATACCTGAGACGGACGATCCACTTTTTCACGAGGACGCGTCCTTGCACACGACGAGGTGCACTTGGGATTCTATAATGCTGAGCTTGCGTGGCAGCGATGGGAAAAGGACCCGGGCCCGGATCAAATTGCCAGAATAGACTGTTAGCATTGGCTCCCACCCCCAATTCAGTTGGCATTGGGTGGGCGGGTTGGGAAGAAAAGAAAAGAAGAAGATTAGCTAGGCACCCGACTCGAACAGGCCACGCGAGAGACGAGGTGACGCAAATCCGCCGCCGAGACATGGGCAGCCCGCTGGCGGACGGCGGCGGGCACGGCAGCACGTTGACGCAAGAGCGAGCCGTGCTTTTCATAGATGCGCAAGGACTCTCGAGCGCGCCATCTTCCCCGCTGCTGGATCTGATCCAGGCTGCGCAATTGCTCCAAGGCGTCGTGCGAGGGGCCTCCGTGCCGAAGCTGATGAGGCACGGAGAAAACGCGGCAGAGGCCTAAGTCGGAGGCCACACCTCGCACGAGCCTCTCGTATGCACTGAGATTCAAGGGAGCGAAAAGCTTGGCCGCGTCTGCTCGGCCTCTGCGGAGGGCAAGCAGCGCAGCCGGCACCTGGCGTCTGAGGGGGGCAGGCGTGCCAGCAACGACAGCGCGGTCGAACTCATTCGTCTTGGACGGCACTCCGCCTGCGCGAGGCGCGATGATGACGGAGACCTGGCCCCCCGCGCTGCCGTGGACGTCGCCTGCGGTGATGGAGAGCACCTCACTGGGCCGCAGGCACAGGTCAAACTGGACAATCATGGCCACGGCGGCGAGGGCTCCCAACGAGGAGCGCTCCGAGAGGGCTGCCAAGCAGGCGACCACGGCGTCGAAGGGGGCGGGCATCCTGGGATGCCGAGGCAGCTTGGCAGACCAGCCCGCCAGGGCGTCCTTGGATCGCACGAATTGAGGCTTGGCCACTGCCCATCCTCGGAGTCGAGCAAGGCCGTAGAGTGCATTGCGGGCCATGTACTGAGGGGAACCAGAAAAGAAAAGGTGCTCGATGTACAGGTTCATTGACGTCTCGGCGTTCTTAGGGTTGTCAAAGAGAAGACGCCGGCGCCGTGCCCAGGCCTCGAAGTCGGCGACCGCCTGCTGATACTTTGTCAGGGTCGCTGGCCGCAACGAAGCCGTACGCAGGAAATCTCCCGGAGGCACTCGGCGAGCTTGCCGCTGCTGTTCGGCGCGGTCCACGGCCGCTGCCGCTCGCCTGCGGCGGCCAGCGCCCGACGGCCCCGCGCTTGGCCTCCGCCTGGGGGCGGGGCGACGCCGCGAGGCCCGCCCGCCGCCCGAGGGGCGGGGGCGCGGGTCGAGCGCGGAGGCCCAGGCGGCTCGCCAAGGGAGCCTGAACCTCCGCGGGCAGAGCGGGAGCCCGGGGGCGCGGAGGCGGACCTCGCCCGACGCGGCTGCCAGGACGCCATCCCAAGTCGCGAGGTCTCCGGGCGTGGCTCGGCCATCGGCGGACCTCGGGGCGGAGAGGGAGGCGATGCGCACGAGCTCTCGGCACCACTCTGGGAGGCACGCGCCAGCCACGGTAGTCCGCCAAACCCACCCTCTCGTCGGATGTCGGACTTTGCCCTGAAGAACTCCCCGATGCGGCTGGCAGCACTGGCAGCGGCGGCCCAGCAGCTCCAGGTTGGGAAGCGTGCCGGCGATCGCTCCCGGCTTCTTGAAGGGCGCCCCGAAGCGGCAGGAGTCGCACTCGATCCTGCCGGGCCTGCGGTAGCGGAGCTCCCTCTCCAGGGGGCGCCAGCGCCAGACACGGCTGGGGCCAGGGTTCTCGAGGAGAACGAAGATGTCGAGCTTCCTGCAGAGCTTGAGCACCCGCACGGCGAAGCTGACGAGAGCGAGGTCTGCCGGGCGAGGAGGCCGGTTGCCCCCGGCCGGCACCCAGTGGGTACACGGAAGGCCAATATGTATGCACCAAAAGCGGCGCTGGGTAATCCAAGCCAAGGCAGCGTTACGGACTCCAGGACGCGTGAGGTCATGATGCTTGCCGTTTGCAATGTCCAGAGGGCAGGCGATACGAAGACCGGCCTCGTGGAAGGCCCCAGATAGGTTCGCGCCTCCCGCAAATAGTTCCAGGAAGCTGGTGCGTCTAGGACGGTGGCCCCGCGGGGCCGTAGACGAAGACCCCGAGGAGCACCGCTTACGAGGCCCGCTGCACGCCCGAGGAGGAGCCGAAAAACTTGATGACCCAGCCTGGGAGCCTTGACTCGGCGTCGATGCTGATGGTCTGACCCGTGACGCCCAAGAAGCCGAGGAAGCGGGGGGCCCAGCCTGGGGTCGCTGATGAGCCGACGCCGTTGGAGACCCAATATGAGGCCAGTGACCCGACGAAGAGCTCGATGGCCCAATCTGTGAACGATAACCTGTACGTGGTCTCGACGAAGTGGAGCACGATGGAGGAGGGGAAGGACAGGAGGAGCTCTCATGAGGAAGGGAAGTGGACGAGGAGGAGAAGGCGAGAGGAGCTCTCACGAGGAACGGAAGGGGGCGGAACAGAAGGAGGAGGATGGGAGCTCGGAGGGCAGCTCGAAACACGAGCCATCTTCATCACCATCCTTCACCACCACCACCACCACCACCACCACCACCACCACCACCACCACCACCACTACTACTACTACTACTACTACTACGTACTACTACTACTACTACTACTACTTACTAACTACTACTACTACTACTACTACTACTACTACTACTACTACTACTACTACTACTACTACTACTACTACTACTCCTCCTGCTACTACCACCACTACTACTACTACTACGACGACGACGACGACGACGACGACTACTACTACTACTACTATTACTACTACCACTACCACTACTACCACTACTACTACTACTACTACTACTACTACTACTACTACTACTACTACTGTGTACGGGGTTGAAGTACAAGGGTACAGAACCCCTGATCCGTTGGTAGAGAGAAGGAGGGATAGATGGATATCTTTCCCTCCCGCACGATCAAGGTATGATCGATCTATCTCAGTACCTTGAGCCAAAACGGCCAGGTGCAGGAGAGGTAAGGATAAGGAGTATATATGAAGGTATTACACGGTATCCATTCACACCCCCCGCCCCGAATCCCGCCCGTGAAGGCAGGACTCGGGAACAGAGGAAGGGAATCCGTAACCTCTAAACTCCTTTAGTCCTTAAGTCAAGAGGCAGCTGGGCTTAAAATCAGCGAAGCCTCAGCTGCAAAGTGAAGTTAGAAGGAACACCCTGAGTCCCCCTTTCTTCTCCAGGCACGCTTTGGTGCCCCCTCGGTGCGCCCCCCAAAACGCTTCGGCACTCGAGGGCGGAGAAGAATGAGACAAGGGTGGGCGGAGAAAGAAGATCTGAGCGTTAAAGCAACATGCAAACTGCCTCGCTTCTGCGAGGCAGGTGTTGCCACCAGCTTGCAGATTATTCTCAACGCAATCAGGTTTAAACTCGTTAAAATATGCATGCTAAGATCGTGTTAACGAACGCGATCTTGAAATGAAACACATCATTGTGTGAAAGCGAATGTCTGGCCAAACAAAACGTCGTGTTGATGAACACGAAAATCATGCGTAAAAAAAACTCTGGTTGGCGACCCCCGTTGGCGTTGCTCCTTAGGAGGCTGCCTCGGTGATCGCAAAAGGTATTTGTGTGTGTGTGGCCACTTTTGTTATATAATGAAGTGGCCTAAGATATGAAATGGCCACCGCTCAAGACGAACTTTGGTTATATTGAAGTTCGTGCCTTGAGCGGTGGGCCTTGCGGCCGACTCACTACGTGTTGCCGTTCTTGTAGGACCTGCGGTCCCACATCCTCTGGCCGTTGTACGTCGCGTAGCTCGTGGTGAATGTCTCCCAAGCCGTTCTTGGGATCCAGTTGCGAAACCAATCATTGTACGTGATGTCCTGGATGTATTCGTACTCATCGTTGTTGATCGCGATGTAGATCCAACAGTTGATGTAGTAACTCCAGTACCTGAGGCCCCAGTAGCTGTCCTCAAGGTCATCACGCCAGTACGCGGCGTAATCTGATGTACGCGCTCTCTTGGCACGCGGCCCCGCGGGCGTGTAGTCCGTCGCGCCTGAGGCGCTGGACGCAGCAGCGTCGCCAGGAGCAGGGCGCGGCGGCGGCCGCGGATGGCGCGGCGGCTCCATGGCATCATCGGACTGGTGGGATTGTGTATCGGGATCGGTTCTCATCCCTGTATCAACCCCCCTCTGGTCGGTATGTGCTGGATCGAGGGAGCCTAACAACTCATTGGCAATCGCGGCAAGCTTACGCTGAGTGAACTGTTCACGGGTTCCGCCCCTTCTAGGGAGAGAAACCGCGACCAGTCCGCGAGCCTGCCGCGTCTGCCTGTCGAGGCGCCCCTCGTTCAGCCACCATTTCCTCCGACCAGCCTGTCCTGTCCTAATGCTGACGTCGAGGATGTCCCACGCATCGCGCATGTCCTCCACGGTCCAGGGCTTCTTGCCGACGTTCACGCGGGCACCTGTCATTTGGTGGTGGAACGTGAGGTCGTTGAGAAAGCGTTGTACGAGATTGGCGAATGGGTAGTGCAGAGGTCGGTCGTCCTCGGATTCGCCCATTAGTCTGCACTCGTGTGCAGGAGGGCTACCTGCTTCGACCCACTTCTGATGCCTCTTTTTGGACGCATTGGCCAATCTCCGCAACTGATCTTTCTCGTTGCCTGCGTGCGATCGCGCACCCGTCATAATGACGTGCGCACCGTCCTTCATGTATCTCGCGATGTGGTCCTCCGAGAGTGTCGTCTTGATCCAGTTCGTCAGCTTCTGGAGGTACGCGAGATCGCTCTGTGTGGCGGTGCTCTTACCCGTGGCGCCTACGGCCACGGTATACTGCCAACAGATATCACAAAGTGTGCCGTCACCTGTGACAATCCCGAGGGGCAGATCTCGACCGCAATTCTGACAGAGCGGTATGGGATGCAAGATCGTCTCGGGGGGCCCTTCCGAAGTGAGGTGGTCGCGGGATCCCCAGCGGGTGTCCTGACCGCGAGCGAGGCTCTGACCGATCTGATTGATCGCCTCACGATTGATCTCGGTGTTCGGTCTGGAAGCGATCGATCTACTTAAACCCTCGATCTCGATCCTAGACAACCTTTCCCCTGGCAGTCCTTTGTACTCTATCTTGGTGTTGTCGGTATCCTCAGTACCGCCATGGCATACGTTCTCCTCGCGAAGGCGGCGAGCTTTCTCTTGCAAGGTAGCCTCGTTGTCGCCCTCCTCGCGCTTGAGTCCCGTCTGCTCGGCTATGATACGTACCATAGTTTCCTGGTCGGGAGCTGCAGACGCAACGCTGCCTGGATCCTGGGGAATATCCTGCTCAGCGCCTTGCTCACGAGGCGCAGCAGGTGTTTCCACCAGCTCTTCCCGTACAGGAAAATCTGGGTTACCGTATGTCTCAGTACAATTTTTGAATAGGTCACGCAATGCCTGAAGTGCAGGATGGTTCTCATGGATGGCCTCTTTGGCGAAATCTGGAAGCTCCGCAATACTATCTTTCAAGATGTTATGGTATACTTTGGAAATCCATTGAAAGATGCCTGTGGTCGACTCCTCGATAGTCTCTGGGTCGAAGTAGTGTACCAACTTTTAAGAAATGATCTGCACTGCAATTAGGCAAGTCACGTGCCCATTTGTGGGTATGATTGTAGTTCAATTGGTACGACTCCGCATTCCATGCTTTCGATCCAAATCGGATTTCAAATTGTAGATGCGACTGAGTTTGATCCATTACGATTCTGTCTGCGCCACTGTGTACCTCGATGGTCTGTTTCATCTTGATCATAGGCGAATCCACCAGCAGCTCCGATGTCCAACAATACACACAGCAGTCACCAGACTGTTTAATCCATCTTGAATCCTCGTCGGGGTCGTAATCTGGATGGCCAAGGAAGTCCGATGGCGGATCAATGATGTTGTCGATGATACTTGCCTCAATATGCTCATCTGCTTGGATGTCTGCCGAGAGGTCTGCTCTCATATTGTCGTTCGCAGCTTTCTCTTCAGCAGTGAGCGGTATGCTCGATATGTCCACGATTACGGTGATCGATGGATCACGTGATGATGCTGCAGTCTGTCGAGGATTGTCGCCTTGTCCTCGGCAGGTGTGGCCACCAGCTCGTCTGGGTCGGGTGTCCGAGGAGCGGGCCTTCTTGGCGGTGTACGCGGAATCCGTGGTCTAAGAATGCTCGGCATGCCAAGGTATGATAAACTGCCGTCAGTCTTGTGCTGGAGTATCTTTTCGCTGCATGATGTCGGACCTTTCAGGACGGTCTCCATCCACGTTGGGTCAATGGCGTGTTCTTCGATACGAATCGGTAATGCAAAGACAACGCCCTTGAGGGGCATGCTTTTGTCATTATACCATAGGTTTACCCATCGTAAACCGTAGTTGAGAATAGGTACTTGTACCGCAAAGAACTTGTCGAAGATGCCGAAATGGATGATTGGACCATATATGTGTCCCTTGGACAAGGCAATCTTGGTACTGTGATTGCCTTTGGGCCAGTGGTTGTCGCAATGAAAACATTTGGTAGAACCCCAATTCTTGACGACAGTGAAGTCTCCCATTCGAACGTCATTAAATGCAGGGCGACGGTCCCAATCTTTTTGCATGATCTTCGATGTGATTGGTCGAAGAGCTTCGCGACAGTATGCCAATGCAATTAACCATTCTTTATCATCTGCTTTGTGATTGGTCTCCCGAATCATAGCGCGGACTACTTGCTCATCCAAGGTGTCTTCTGCAGATGTGCGGCCAGCAGGGGTTTCCCCCAGCTTGACCGAAGGTGCTGACGCTGACGTCGTC